TGACTTGTAGTAAATCATTTTTATTCTTTTTATTTCTCATTTCTTCTTTCTTTTTTTTTTTATCCACACTCATATTTTATCGAAAAAAATCTCTACGCAGCTTTTATATTTTCCATACATCAAGAGAACTTTGACGGACAAATTATTCCTCCATGTTAACAGCAATTATGTATACTAATTTCTCATCCTATATCAAAAAAATTCCCGTAATGCTTTTACGTTTTAAGGCATTACTTCAAAGAACCAAATGTTATTTCATATTTAAAGTAACTCATTTCCTTCCTTTTTACTTCTCCTTTCTCCCTTCTTTCTTGTTTCATATATACTCATATTTATATCGAACAAGGGAACTTCAAAGATATTTTAAAGAACATAATATTGCTATATACTACAACAACTCATTTTTCCTTTTAATTCTTCACTCCTTTTGTCCTTCCTTCTTTATCTACATACATATATCCATTTCTTATATTATATTAAAAAAAAATCTCGTATTGCTTTTATACTTACTTTAAGGATCAATTTCAAATAACCAAATGTTGCTTCGCGTTCGCAACAACTCGTTTCAAAAGTGCCCATTCTATATTTCTCTCCCGACGTCCTAATTTATCAATGTAACCAGCAACGCTTGTGTACTACAAATAATGCAACAATTTAATTGTCGTTCGGGGAGTCGGTCGGACAGGAGCAACGCTCGGTCAATATCTTGCGAACAATTCCGGTGAGAGGTGTTCACGATTTTTTTTTCAGGTGACAGTCCTTCCTCACAGTTAGGACGTGGTGGTAGCCTATTAACTCTTGCTTCTTTCGTGTCTCCTGAGTATTTTCCATGGCCTTTTGTTCATTCCGGTCTTTGTTTATCCGCTATCGCGTAGACGCTCCTCTTTAATTTGTCCCTGGTCGTCTATTAATCACACGGGTAAAGTGGCGATTTCTGCTGTGCTCGAAACCTGGGAATTGTTGGGCAAGCTAAACACGAGTAGCTGTAATTGAAAGCGGCGCCGGCAGTGTTTGGAATCGCTTCGGTTCTCTTTTGCTTTTTATCGAGACTGAAGCTACACCGTTTCGACCAGAGGGAAGTAATTAAAATTTAATGAGGAAGGAAAACTATTCTTGGATTTCGAAAGAATTCTCTTGATATAGTTATTAACATTGTTTTCTACGTGTGTTCTAGGCATTTGATATCGAATTGATATCAAATGCCTAGATAATAGGTATTTGAAATCACTTGAACCACGTTGTGTTTTTACGGTAACATAATAAAATATATGAATCCTTTAATTAATGTATTGATACAATGACTCATAGATTCTTTCATGTACTTTCGAAATAACAATTTAAATTTTAATACAATTCCTGCTTATGTATTCTTATTATCTTCACTTTCATCGTGAAGCTCGTGATAAATGTTTAACTCTGAAATAAAGTTCGCAATTCCGTGCATAATTTACAGCCTTCCGGAAACTTTGTGAATTTCTGTAATAGAATTGTTATTATTTAGAAGTATAGTATCTTTTTCGGAAAGTGAGTAATTCAATAAATTATTTTTTTAATGGATTTAAATAGTAGAATTAGAGTGAAAGTAGCGATTATAGGAAAATTACAAGTAAGCGATCAGAGAAAGTTGAAGGAATTGTTTTTCTAAAATCCCGATTAACAATATCGATGACGATGTACACACGATAAGGTTCGAAAAATTGCCCTTTGTACCTATTATCGACAGAATACGAAGTTCTCAGGAGAATAAGACCGTGCTTTCACTTGGAAATGTGATACATTATTATCCCATTGCAACTTCCATTAGAAGAACTAACAGGAATTTACGAGTAGCCCGATAATGGAAGAAAAACTTTTCGCACTTGTTGAGCTTCGTGTATTTTAGGGTACTAATACAAATATCAGTAGAAAGTTCCCTTTTCCACTTTTTCCTCCTTAATCAATCGTATAACTCACCTGTTACCCTTCCTGAATTTTTTACACCATCTGATATCGAAACCTCATCATTTCCGTAATAAAGAACATACCGGAAGAAAATAATGTTATTAAAACAGAGTTCATTAAAATTCTCCGAGGTAAAAAAATATTAACGGAGCTTAGGGTCTATAATTTACGCCTTCATTATGAAGAAATTTATCGTTAATTTAATATTTTGTATTCACAGAAATACTTTGTATTTCTAGTATAGAATTATCTACTCTGGGTGATTAATTCGTCAAAATACTTTTTACCATAGAATTGTGTATTATCCGTCCTTAAAAAAAAAAATACTGTAATAATTTCAATAATAAAAGGCAGTTCACATGAAGCAGTCATGCCGACTGAATTCTAGGACAGCTTTCGTTGGAAATAAAACGACAAACAGCAACATGGACATCTAGCAAGATTGCGACAATTGGAGTAAGGAAGGACTTCCTCGTCCGGCTTACTACAGATTACCATCTGTTTAGAAGTCCGGCGAACTTTCTCAAAGAAAAGCGACCGGTTAACCAAGAAAGTGTGGAAAATACATTCAAAGAGTTAATTGAACGGCGTGGCCGACAGTACAACCGCGGTGTCTGGATTAAAAATACTGTTATTTTTTGTCGGTGGTGGATGACGGATAGAAGAATATAGGCTAGAAGCAGCATTGAATATGATAATTTTATGGTTTAACATGAAATCTGTAAAGGAGATCGTTTCGAAATTACTTCAAACGGATGTATTCAATTACCGCGGGGTAATTTAAATGATTCAAATACATTAGACTGTCACTCGATTGTTAAATTTCCTCTTTCGATGGATGGGTCGTTTTAGACCCATCTCTGATTGATCTATCAGATTTTCAATATTGTCATCATTTTCTGAGGATGTTTACATAAATATACGTACTTTAATTAGCAGAAACATTTTCATTTTGTTAAGAATTGTATTAGGTTCCGAATAAAATAAAAAATTAGTTATATATTGTTTTTAATGTACGGATGTTTGAGTAGTGTGAATTTATGATTCATTAGAGGAGATCGGTGACTCGCTAAAAATGAAACCAACTGAAATACCATTAGCTCCTCCATTTCAAATATTAACAATATCATTTAAAATCATATAACCCAATTACATTGCCACCAATAATGTAACACCGAATTGAGGTCAATGTAAAATTGCAAAATATTTACAAATTTTTACAGCAACTGTTAGAGTCGTTAAAAATGTTACCAAACGAAATATTAGAAATTCTTCCATTTCAAGTGTCAAAAAAAAATCTCAAAAAATCACGAGTCTTGCAGAAAACAGCCTACCGATCTTATTTCCAATACTAATGTGTCGGAACCGTGTCGGTGCACAGTTCGAATTTTGCGCGCAATTTTCCGATTGCGCGACGAGCCGTTCGAAAATGTTCGCCAGAGAAACCGCGGACTGATGTCCTCCAGGGGCAGCAGGCTAATGCTTGTAATTAATTCAACTGCGAATCTGCGTGAAATTTAAATGCACCTGCTCTATTGATTTTCTGACTCACCGGCGATTTTGGCCGCGCAGGTGGCACCACCTGCGCAGCCCATAATCACCGAGCAGGCGCAACGTCACTCGTCACAAACCCGTTCGAATATTGGTCTGTTTGATTTTATGGAAAAAAAAAACACACGTGACAATCCGCAAATATTGATTAAACGCGCATATGAAACGCGACATGGAAATTTCCACGATTTTTTTGAATCGTTTAATCTTTCGAAAATGGTAACTCAATTGGAACATCGAGCGAAAACTGTTCGCGGAGCGTAACAATGGGAGGGTTTTAGTTCTTTTTCTGAAGATATACCTTGCAAATAAATCTGTTAGTGTAAAATTTCACGGGGAATAGGAACATAAAATTTATTACGATTTATTTTATAAAAATTCAACGCGAGATAAAAAGGAATAGAAGGATTACCTTGGAAGGAGTAGTTTTATAAACTGAACCCTGTTTCAGTAGTAGTCAATCATTAGAAAAATTAGGTTTAGTTTCTAATTACTTAGGTGAGTGATTTCTTATGAGAAAAATAAAATTATAGGGTCGAAAATATGGTTTGGGACCGATTTAGAGTCTAGGGTAATTTTGATGTACAATTCTGTCCCAATTTCAGGCCTGAAATATACTATAGTGTAGTTTCGAACCAGCTGTAGATTGTGGACCAGTCTCGGGCCTGACGTATGGATCAGACCTTCTAATAAAAGATCTGGATCTTAAAATTGCACAAATACATTTAATAATATGTACTTAAATAAGGGATGAACATTTATGCGGCACTCAAATGAAAAGTGGATCAGGTCGTAATCTATTCATCGATTACAGAAACAAATTTCAGTGGCTGTCTGCATCAGTAAAAGGATCTATTTCCATCCGCAGCCTGGGCCAACATTTCTATATTCATTCACCTGTCAGTCGTTCCGTTCACGCGGACTATTCTTGAAAATACCGACGAAACTTTCCTCGTATTAACTTTCGACTTATTTTCTCGCTTGTTCTAGTTACCGTTTTCGTTCGCCGTACGTTCCAATTTCAAGGGGCATCAATCGGCCGATTTAAGGGGCATCGAATCACAGGGAAACACGCTTCGACGGGCGTCGATTTTTATAGCCTATCCCATTTACATTTCTCGCGTTCGAGAAGTGGACGTATAGACGAAATTACCCGGGAGAAATCGTAAAAAAAAAGAATAAATAAAGAAAAAGGAAGAAATTCCTTCCGTCATTTCCCAGGTTTCACCGTGTTGCTCGTGATTCAGAAATGACAAAATGGCACCGGAAACGACGGAAGTGGACTTCGATAGATCCAATGCTTTCACCGCGTATCACGCTACACTTTTTCCCCGTCTGTCGTGATCAGACGATTTCTCGCGTCGGATGCGACTCAACTTGAAACGTTAATGCCTGTTTTTTAACCCCTCAGTCTCGTAATTGCATAATCTCACGGTGTGGCAGCGATGATTTGTTTTTTCTTAACGATCGAACCGTTTCTTTTTCTGTTGCAGAACACAGTTACGTAAATGATCCCATGGTCTGTCACAATGAGGCCGACGCTTACGCTGAATTGTAAGTACGATTTGCATAGACACGCGCAACACGTGGAAATATGTTAATTAGCCGATTCAATTCACTTTTACCTTGTGCTGTTGTTGTTGCCTCAGGTGTCCTAGCGATGGGGCTTTTCACCTGCATCGGCGCGATCACCGTATCGATTGACCGTTCTGATAATAAACCCGTAAGTAAAGTGACAATGTAATCGAATTATTACCGAGTTAAATACTCTTTATGGACAGTGTACCGGGGTGAGTTTTCTATTTATATTAGAGGTAAAATCATTTTCGTTGTTGGTGGTAATACGAGAGAATGTTGGCTGAAACTGTCGTTACGAAGACCAATTGCAACCCGTTTAACCCCCGTCGGATCCGCAACCAGCCATCCTCCGGCAGCCGACAATCCGTTATCTCATAAAAACGTCCGCCCATCCTAAATTCCCAAGCAAATTGACGCCCTCCGCTTTATAGACCCCATTTCCGACCAGTCGAATTTACAAGCGACAGTAACGCCATAAATGGTTGTTAAACGCTGCTACAATCCTCCTGCTTCGATCCTCTTTCAGCCACCGACGCGATCGTCGATGATCGCAAACGGATGGAGGCCCCTGACGAATGGCTACGAGGAAACGATCGGCACAAATGTCTCGCCGTCGAGCAATCTCGAACGGAACAACGGTCCTGTCCACCCTGTGTTAGGCAAGCTACAGGAGCACATGGCCGCCTCGGAGAAGCTGAAACCGCAACGTAAAGGCAAACCATCCTCGTCGTCGTCATCCGTCGTCGTCCACCACGATTACAATCCGCCGAGTATACTCGGCAGTTTCACGGTGTTCGGTCACGCGGCCGCAAAAGCGCGTGGCGAAGCGCATAATACCCACAATCACCTGAACAAACACGTGCCCTCCGAGACGCGGGAGTACACGTTCCTTATCCCACCCCCGAAAGACGCGTACAGGTTCGAGCTGGACGCCCACAGGAAGCCAATTCTACGGGATAACGCGGCGTACCTCAGGCAGCCGCCACAATTCATCCCGCAAACCGCGCATCAGCAGCCCGATCCGATAAAAGCTGCCACGTATTTCATCAAAGGTTACACCTCCACCACGAACACACCCTCATCGACACCGAACAAGAATAGACACTTCGGGGATACGTATATCCCACATCTCCTGCAACCGCCTAGATATCAGCAATCGAAGCCGTTCGAGTCGCTAAAAGTGAGCAACGCGAAGCCATACTTCCAACCCCCAGGCGCGTCCCCAGCGAACGATTTCGGCAAGGACAAACGTCTAAGCGAGCACGATCATCGACTGAATTACGACAAGTACCCTGGACAGGTCCACAACGAGCAGATCATCAGCCCAGCGAGCACAGGGAACTTCTTCAGCCAGGTGAACCATCCGTATAAAACGTCCTACGAGAGGGATCCTGCGTTCCTGGTGCACGAAAGTCACGAGATAAGCTACATCACTCCACCAACAGTCTATAATAATTACAACTTCAGACCATCTCTGCCGTATGAGACACTTCTGCCGCCGGATGTCTACAGCTCGTCCACCCCGCCACCTACCACGCCTCGTGTGCAAGAGTCTAACAAGTATCAACAGAATGTTGATCTTCAGGCCCAGGATTACAAACAGCCGAATCAAGGCACGACGTCGAAGCAAGTAGACAATGGACCGCAAGATGTTCACCCAACTGCTGGGATAGCTAACACGTATTATGTCTCTGAGCATCAGGATCTAACCCCACCGCCATCCTCCTGGCCCCTGCCCAAAAACAAGTACACGTCGGATATTAACGAGGTTCTACCACGTGTCAATCCTCCGTCAAAGTTCAACCAGGAGGTGGTCGGCTCGGACCAGATACAAACGGTCCCGAAAGTTGTCTATGTGGGCCCACAAGCAGCTGCGCCCCAGTTCCAGAGCTCTGTGTTGCCGATCGACGTACGGCCAGACACCGCTCGGCCAGAGTACGAGACGCCGGAGAGTATATCGCTGAAGCATTTCAACGAGCAACAGTATCTGATCCAGCAACAATTGCTGCAGAGGGACAGACAGAGGCTGGCGGAACAGGAGAGGCAACAACAACTGGAGATCGAGAAGCATCAGCAGGAAGAGCTGAGAAAGAGGCAAGAGGAGCTCAGGCAATTGCTGCAACAGCAGAAGGAGGAGGAGGAGGAGGACGAGACCAGGCTGGCCGTTGAGTCCGCGAAGAATCAGTCTGGCCAACTTGAGAAAGTCACTCAGGGACAATCGCCTTACACGGTCCAATTGGCGGAATACGAGATCCCGAAGGTTACGACCGACGCGGCTGCCGTGATCACCGAATACGGAGATGTCGGGGGGTTGCAGAAGGTTCAACAGTCTCAGGTATACTTAACTTTTGTTGCGAAAAGGATGGGGGTTCGAGTTATTGCCGCGCGTTCTTTGACAGTTCGATTGGACTTTTACGATTATCTACTTGGATTCTACCGGGTCTCCGCGTGATATAGTTGCAGAAGTTGCAGATTGTAGAGGGTGATTCTGGTCTATAGCTTTTATTGGATTTCTGTGTGATAATGTTCTAGAAGTTACTTGGTGCATATTGTAAATAGTGATTCTAGAATCTATAGCTTCTATCGGATCTCTGTGTGACAAAGGTTGTAGAAATTGCTTGGTACAGATAGTACAGGGTGATTCGTAAATGTAAGGTAAACTACGAAATAGGACGTTATAAAATATAAAATAAGTGAAATAGATTTTGAATATAGTTTTAAAGAATATTCGAAGGTAGTAAAATTATGTGTCGTTGCTTGGTAATGTGACGTTTTATTATCGGACTGCTAATAACAGAGTAATCTCTACTGATCACGATTCGTGGTTCACCCTGTATAACGGCTACAATGCAATTAATAAAAAAACGGAAAGAAATTGTAAACAAAAGTAGTAAATGACAATTCAATATAAATTGAAAAGTATAGACTGTAATACGCGATTAAAAATGTTACAAACTCTCCGAACAATCGAAATATTAAAAATGTTTTCAAATGTCCTTAAAAATTTCCTCCCAGGTAACACAACCCGACTACGTAATCTCGGAGAGTCCGATCAGCCCGAGCCAGCAGTACCAGGAGCAATTAAAAAGTCAACCGGAACAAACGAATTACCGTGAGCAACCGCAAACCGAGCCGCGGCCACAGCGACCGTACAAGTTATCGCGCGATCAATATAGACGAAGAAAGCCAACAACCGCGTCGTACGAGCCCGCGCCAACGGAGGCGCCCGTTCAACTCCCAGAGACCGCGGTGCCGGTGACGTTGCACATCGAGGAAGTCCAAACCACGTTGCCGCCGGAAGTAGCGAGCGTGCCAACGGTGACCACTCAAAAGCCCCGAACTCGACGACCTGGCACCCCACTGCGTCGAAGACGTCCAACGACCACAACTCCAGAACCAATTACAGTGGTCGGTGACGATTTCCTAAAGTACGACAGGCCCGAAGATGTACAGCAACAGCTGGACCCATCTCGACGAAGACGTATCAAGCCGACCCAAACCACTCACGAGGAAACCGTCACCGAGAAGAAAGCTAACATCAGGAAACGACCTGGTCACAGAAACCGTGTCAACCCAGGCGAGCCATTCGAGGCAGAAATCGTCACAGAGATCGTCCACACATCGGTGAACACATACAAAACCCCAACCGAGACGATTCCAGGGTACAACAACGAGTACAACCAGTTCGTGACGAATCAACCAACGAATCAGTTCGCCACAAGCCAGCTGAACAATCAATTCGCGACGAGTCAACCAACGGCGAATCAGTTCGCGACGAACCAACCGGTCAATCAATTCGTGACGAGCCAACCAACTAGTCAGCAGTTCGATTACCCGTCTCAGCAGTACGGGTCGGTCGACGAGCAACGGGAATACGCGACGGAAGTGCCGTCGGAGTATCTGACCGAAGTGACGAGGACGAAGATCGAAGAGGTGCCCAACAACGAGAGTTACAACACCCAGGGAGGAACCGTGGTCAGCAATATCCCCCTGGAGGATCTGTTCGTCAAGACCGAAGGCAATTACTTTGATAAATCGACAGCAGTGTCCAGTATCAGCCTGGGTAGCAATTCCGGTGGTAATACCGCGACGACAGTTTCGACAACCACGTCCACCGTTCAGTCGACCGCTCAACCACCAAGTTCCTCCACGATCAGATCGCACAAGGTACGACCGATGAGGTACGGAAACACCACCAGGCCACGGTTCAGCGTCAAGGACTACAAGAGTCGTTTGGACTACAAGAGCAGGCTGGCTACCATCTCCACCACCGAGGCTACGCCAACTCCAGCACCCAGTCATAAGCAAAGAGGTTCGAACTATAAGAGCCAGAATCAGCAACAGCAATCTGGAGACACCACCAGGGAATCTAATGGAAGATACAAGTACGTTTCCAGAGTAAACTATAGGACATCATCCCCTAATCCCGTAAAACATCAGGAACAAGAGTATCCAGGCGAGGACACCGCATCGTCAACAACAGAAAGGACCAGATTCGTTCCAAAAAGGCGACCAGTCAACGGGAACGTCTACAGAAGCAGAATATCCGGGACAACAAGCAGCCCCAATAGGTATGACAGTGATGCCCAATCGAAACCCAGCACGGCTAGACCAGAGAACGTGTTCTCCTCGTCGGTTCGACGACGGCCAGTGATGAAAAGCAGGCTACCAGCGCAAAAGGAGACCTCGACAGCCGCGTACGCCGAGAGAAAGGAGACGGAGGGCACGGAAATGGCCGCCGAGGAGACCAGTTTCTACTCGGCTATCACTACAATGGGGACCACCCGAGTGGTAGCCAACGAGATCCCGGTTGAGAAAGAGCCAGCCGGTTCCGTGAACGATCCAGCACGGCTGACGATCGATGGGGAGGTGGAGAAGAACGCGGATGAAAGCGAAAACGGACCAGGTTTCCAGGTGGAACGTGAAAATCCGCCCGTTGAACCGGTTCCTAGCAGCACCGCCAAAAACGTGGAGAGCCAACTAAGGGAAACCGATGTTGTCACAGAACGGGTCGTTGAGAAGAAGACAGAAGCCTCGACTGAACCCAGTGAACGTAAATCTGAGGAGACCAAGTCCACGACATCGTTCGACGTCAAGGCTGACGAGGAGGAACTGTTCGCCAAGGCGTCACAGAGCGTCGCTGATCTAACCAGTTCCGCTTCCGCTCTGTATGACAAGCCGGGGATGTTCAAGGCTGTCTCCCCCGAGAGCAGAGTCATTGTTTCGCATTTCAAGATACCCACGGATGAACCCACTCTGCCGATCGAGGCGTTCTTCCAGGAATTGTCGAAGAAAAGTTAAGGGACGCTGAGGTGTTCGTTTGGTTTCTGGTTAGGTTTGCTTTGAAGTGAAAAGTGATGTACTCGTGGCGGTATGTTTGGGATCGATTGGCTCGATGTTGCTTTTGGATTTTCATGATTTTCAGAGATATTGTACTGTGTAGAAAGTGTGGAGAACCTGCTTGATGGATTTTAGATATGGAAACAGTTAAATAGGAGTCCTGTCTTCACACGAAGTATTCAAAATAGCCGCCATTATGGTTTAATGTGTGGAGACGGCTTGTGATCGACGGTTTTGACGATCAAACTGTTTTTTGTTTTATATTATTGTTAACCCACTGGCGATAGCGTGTTCTAACAGTTTGTAAGTAAAATGAAAATTGCGATCAGAAGATAACGATGATATAATTCAGGCCTTAAAGGGTTAAGCTTCTCGCGTAGATATCACTATGTTTCAATAAAAACAGTTATGAATAGATTATTTCTAAGTGTAATAACGAGAAATTTTAACTTAATGAAGTAAAATTATACAACGTATACAACTGTGAAAGAAATGAATGTTTCAGATGGTAGAACCAAGCAATGCAGATAAAGCATAATATCAGCTATGCTGATACGGTCATCAGTGGGTTAATTAACACTAGAATTGCCAAAGTAATCAAAACGACTGGTTCGTAAACTCTTCCAAAAAATTATAAAAATATCATATGAGCGTATTTTTTTATATTCTTTGCAACTTTTATCATAATATATAAGTGAAGAATTTCGTTCATTCATCGATTTACATATTTTTAACAAATTATCCGTTTTACCAACGTGATGAAAATAGAAACAGGTCCATCATCGGTAGTCCTACTGTGAATGATATTACGTGATGTTTATTTCTGAAGTGGAATTATCAGAGCATGAACATAATGAGTCCTACAAGCGATCCCAAACACAGCAGCTGAAAGAAAGTTCATCTGTCCTGTTTCTAAACCTGAATTTGATTTATTGTTCCAGAGAACGAATACAGAAATTGTATCTAACGATTCTCTTTAGCCTAATATCCACGAGGGTAGCTATATTATTATACTTCGTATTTAATTTATACGCGTTACAGGAAGTCTTGATGGGAGAATATTTGAATCACGAATTGAAATTCTTCGATGTTACGTCACCTGAATATTTCGTTACCATAAATTCTTCTCGTCGATACGACGATCGATTCATCCAATTAATATATTCAATTTGTAAATACATTAATTGAAAAATGAACAACGAGTTATCTTACGGGATAGATATACCAAAAAGTGTAAAGTCCACGAAGAAGTACTGTTGCTTAATTAGCTCGTGGAGGAAGCAACGGTGCTTCTTTCGCAAAGACGACGAGCAAATATTCTTAGGCGAATCGTTTACGTCCTGTGATGGTCATTTTCTATGTCCATTACGTCAGCTTTCGAGCGGAGAAAATAAATGGCAGACCAGTGCATTCGGTTATCTTCAATAATCAGTAAAATTTAAGCTTATTCGATATCCACGATCGAACGAATTAAATTTATGCCATTAATTTAATTGAAAAATTGCATCGGTTATTGGAGGTTTGGATAAAAGTGTTCGTGATTTTTCAGCAATCACGACGAAAAGGTGCTGCGAGATATAACGTATCTGTAAATACTAAAATATATTTAGAACGTTTTCATTCGGATCGATTTTGTGTTTAATAGGTGCTCGATTCGGAGCGTTATTTAACTACGTAATGGATGCATCGACATATAAGGAAGGACACTCGATGCCTCGAATGAAACGCACGATGGGGACCATTGTTTGTGACAATCGGACTGTAAATAACGATCATTTAGGAAATTATCTGCGCGTGCAATACAGATCGGAACTGCTCGGGAAGCTTTAAAACAGATACAAATGAAGGTAATTACAATGGTCGTTAGAAATGGAAAATGAAACTTTACAGTTAATGCACCAGTAAAATATAACAATTTATAATGATGCCAATTACCATACGGATTTAGTAAAAATTGTAGAATCAGTAGGTATAGAAATCATTTATATTCAAGTTTATTAGAGGAGTTCCACTAAATCATCGAGGAATAATAATTAATTTAATTTTCCTTTACTTGATAGTGTATATTCTTTTTTATGAAATTAACTTCCTTTTTCCCATAATTTAAGATATAAATGAAAATTTCTTAATAATTAGTTCAATTACATGTGTGTAAATAAAAGTTACATGGGATTTTTACTTTCATTTGAGTATATTGAAATCCTTAATAAAGGAAACACGTTTCCATTGACATAATTTTCCATAAATCGACGAACTCGAATCTATAGTTGGATCGAAATGAAATGAAATCCCGTAGATCACCGATGGTCCACCCACAAGCAGTTTGATTATGTTAATGCATCCTTACGTAAAGAATAAGGTAATCGATAAGGTCGGTAACACCGTGTTATTTATACGTACACTGTAAATATATATGTATGCAATGAAATAAATAGTATAAGCAGAATACGTTACCTCTTTTAATCGCAACGAGTCACACCAGCGACACACAGTGGGCACACAGCGCTGGAACGTGAAAGGTTTACAGGTGAAACAGATCAAACAGACACGGTATATTAATATTCCAATTTGATTCACAATCCATTTAATATCGTTACGATAAACGGTTACATGCGTGTAGTCACGGTCGAGTAAAATACTAGTTTGTAAAGTTTAAAAACAAAACCCACGTTCGTTTTCCATTCGATAAAGAAAACATGTTCGATTTGCAAATTGTTTTTTAATCGTTTCTTTATCTTTTCCTTTTTCTTTGTTTTCCTCGACGAATGAAACGCAACTGTAAATACATATATAATAATTCGAAACAGGCAAAATAGTACTTTACCCGGCTACGTTTTCCTATGGTTCGAACAAGATTTCCTTTCGTTTTCTCCGTTCATCCCGCCGGTTTACGTGCGTATTTATAATATTGTACGTTGTATAGGCCTACGGAAATTTACTCTGATTGTACCTAATTTAGAATTATGCACAGGCCATACATTACACATAATATTATTCTCAAGCGAGACAACGCAACGTCGTGCGCTTCGTTCTCGTGAATCACGCTTTTTATTATACGCCCCCTACACTTCGTTCATGTACGTATCGTGTAAAACTCCATGTAATTGACAATTAGTTTAATGTGCTTCTTGTTTTCTTTTCTTCTTCTTCTTTCTTCTTCGTTTTTTTTTTCAGTCGTTCAAGGTACAGTTGTACAGTATACGATATAATATAATATATATTTATATATATGTATATATACAATAACAATATTAAACTATGGTTAAGTAGGCACACGCATACCAAAGTATTTACATTGCCCACTGAAGTCCGGGTGAGCAAGAAGTGGACGTTGCAGGCTAACAATAAGTACTGTGTGTATGCACATCGATAAGAATCACGCAGTTAAGCGTCTCTATACTCTGATCGAAGAAAGAATCAACTTTTATAGGGGGGAGATCCTATTTACTCTTTTCGAATATCATGAATATTCCATATTTCAATGGAAGAAACAGTGATTGGCAGAAATTCTATTTTAGTAATACAGAGCAAATATTAAAATAATTAATATTATATAATAGAATTGATGTATGAGAATCTCATTCTGATATTTAACCCTCGTAAAATTGATGATTTTTCGTAATTTTGCAGACGACGACTGGGTCCACTAGGACCCTCACATTTTCACTGGTATAGGCACTCCAAACTGAGTTTTTATTATTAGGATGAATAATGATGCTAGCTGAGGGTTTCATGTTCACGTTTCACCACCGTAATACTGATAATTTTATTTTAATGTTATAGAGAATGACTTATATTGTTACTTATCTAAATACGTCAACCTGAGTTTCTATCGTCAGGACAGTTAATATCGACTTATTTAATTTACTTTTAAGGGTAGTCCTATCGATAAGATGATTTCTAACGTCTTCGTGTAGGAAATTTGTCTACTAATCATTCATAATTCCGAGGGTTAAGTTCTTCCTAAAATGTCGAATACAGCATCGCAAAAAATACGATTTCATTAAAATATATTTAGAAATTTTCCTAATTGGGAATTTTAGTTTCCAAATATTGTATTTAAAAAAAATTATTTTTTAAATGTTCAGATAAAATGTACCTACTCTTAACAAATAATTATCAGATGCAAAAATTAACTGCGATTTCATATTCCGAAAACTAATGTCTAATCTGGTTCAGAATAATAATTCAACTAACCAATTAGTTAAATCTATCATCAATTTTCAAATAGTATACCACGAGAGAGCAAGTAAGCTCCGCCCACTAGAATAAATGTTGGGGTTGTCCCAGTCGTTTCTTTCTTCGGCCCAACAGTAGACGAGAGGAATTCAATTTAACCAATCTTCCTATGCTTGCAAACTGCAAAAAAAGTCCCCGACAAAACGAATTCAAAATTTTTGAAAATAATAAACTAATAAATGATGGTTCTCATCTTCAATCGCTCACTAAATTCCGTTCGAATGAATTGATGACGATTATGTGCACCTTGGTCTACGAACAAATTGGTCCTTGTACGAAAACTACGCGGAGAAAATCATTCTCCCGTGGAAAACTCGCGACTCTCGTCGAGGAAAATCGTGCGTACGCTTATCGACGCGCGACACATTCGGCCGGGAAGGCCATTTTTTTCGATACAAAATATATTATAATCGCGAGCGGCACGGACGTAAAAGCTCATTACTTATTACAATAGCAAAAGTTAGAATGTTAATATTCACGAAAGTCTCGCCGGTCAGGTGTTCTTTTTTTTTTCTCCGCTTGCGGCGGTCGACCAAGAGTTCAGACACCATCGAGCGACGGTCTTTTTCTAGGAAAATACAACAAATCGCCGTACCATACGGTACAGTATGAAAAATAAAACCGAAGTCGCTATGATTATTGCTAACATCGATACAGGGAAACTACAGTAGCTTAACCAGTTCGTCCTGTTCCGTAAAGTTTAGTGACACGATTTTGTACAG